GCATTTTTCTCTCCAAAAAAGTGATCAAATCGAACTAAAAAGGTGATATTCGTAATCAGCACGAAATTCTGCATCGAGTAATGAGCTTTTAAGGCAAAAATAAAAACATGCTCCTCTTTTGAATTAGGCGCGCCTTATAAATAAAGACACTAGCAATGGCTTTTGTACATAGTTTCTTTCCTTTATTGAGAAACCGAAGCTTAGCTTTCTGTTTGCGTTTTCCTGCTTGTTTCTCTCTCTGCCTTCGTGTTATTGTTGTTATGAAAAAACCGTATTTGTTTCTTTAGTAATGAAAATAATAAAATTAAGTCATTGTGATTTGAAATGAAGAAAGACGTGTGTTTTTTTTGACTTTGTCTCGAAAAAAAAGGTAAGCATCTGGTATTCGTCCTGCAGGCTAGCGCGTCCTGTCCTGCCGGACAGGACAGGCCGAAAATACGTGTCCTGTATACACCTCTGTACTTGACGTTAATGTAGAAACGTCATTTCTCTTTTCTACATTCATGATCGAATGAAGGATGAAAAACAAGTGACATAAAAGGTAAATACATCTAATCTAATACGCATACTTCAAAATATAATACTATCGACTCAATTTCTGTCAAATTGAGATTTGAGTTTTTTCGAACTATAGTGAACATTTGAAAAAATTTTATTAGTAAAATGACGATTAGTTATAATTGGATTGATGGTATTTGGATCGGTACAGGTAGTTCTGGTTATAATTGGGATATTCGACTCGAAGCTGATACAAGTCAAAATCGATATACACTAGAGTATCCATCATTAGACGGAAAAAGTCAGCTGATATTTTTAGATTCACATAAACAAGGTGAAATTACATTTCGAGAAAAAATGTTAAATGGGCTCAATTTTTCTAATAATGATATCATTATCTTCAACATGGTACACAATAATAAATTAACGTTTTCAGCCTATCATCAAGGAGAAACAAATTGTATCGGAAGCGGTGTACTCACCAAAATAATAGAATAGTTTTCTGTAGCACAACTGTACAATAATTTCAAGCACAGTTGAATAGTTGAACTATTGATGATTTATTGATGATTTATCACTAATCCTTCGTTCAAGCAACTATATACTATGTTTATAAATGAGATCAGATAAAAACATAATGGTTAGTCGTATATTAGTCCTGTTTCATATAGTTTAACGACACAGCTAATCTTTAAACTTAAAATAACCGATTTGTATTATCAGAATATAATATAACTACATGCATTGTGTATGAAATGGGTGGTGATCATTTGATCTATAGATATTATTTTTGTTTTTAAAATACGAATAATTTAAAAACAAATGTAATTTCAGCACGACTATTATTTTTTTGCACTAAAGAAGACTTGATGTGACAATATCCTGTTTTTATAGTAAGTAATTTGGTTAAAAATACTTCAGGAATAAAATAAAATCCATTTTATACGTGAAAAAAGGAAGGCAAAAACAACTCTTGATCATTTAAAAATAATTTTTTTTCCTTTTCAGATTTCTGTTAAAACATATGCATACCATTGTATATCAAGTACATTTTTTTGACATAGTGAATGAATATGAATTCACACTAGATCATCGCAGGTAGCGGGAATAACGATGACACGATAGCGTTATCATACTTTAATAAGTTTTATTAGCAACTTCATTTGTTCAAGCAGTACTCAGGTAAATTGTATCATGACTATAAATCAGTCTGAAAACGTTGTTATCCGTACATATTAGGAATATATATCACATTACAAATCAAACTTAACTCGTGTTTTCATTAGTTCTACATTTACAAATACGTTTTGTATTCTTGTATTCAAGATAATTTCGTCATTCATATATATATATATATATATATGTCGGGGTTGAGATTGGAATCTAGAGAAGTTCAGAATTCGCGCCTAGGTAAGAATAGAATTCTAATTTTAACTGATTTAGATTGGAATTCTAACGTCAACTATTTCAGTTAGTCACCATTCGTATCACAACTAGTTGACGTTAGAATTCCAATCTAAATCAGTTGAAATTAGAATTCTATTCTCACCTAGGCGAATTTCGAATTCCTCTGGATTCCAATCTCAACTCCAACATATGTATATATATACTGACTTATAATCGTTTAAAATACTACTCTATAAATGGAAAAAAATTAGCGTATTTAGTTAGAAAATGTCGGATTTATAAGAATTTACTTTTTAAAAGTGACCTTTAGGATACACTGTACATGTTGTTGTTTTGGAAACCGTAAAAGAGTTACAGATCTGTATCGAAGTAAATAGTGATAGTTTAAAGCAGTATTCGTTAACATTTTTCTTATGAATAAAAGCTTGGAACACTTCTCTATCAGCAAAAAAGAATTAGCCCATTTAGTTAAAACAAGGAATTTACTTTAGGGTAATGACTTGTGGGACACCCTATATTTAACTGTTGGATTGCACGTACATTTTTTTTGTGAAAAGAAGAGCGACTGAAGTGGTATTTATTGTTTTATCTCCACTGTTTCGGCTTGACCACATTATCGATGGAATATTAGTACAATACAATACTAACAAAAAAATTGAAATAACGCAAATAAAATCTTAGCGACTGGGTTGCTCAAGAGTAGCGTGAACGGGAGGAGGCACAATACATCATAATCCTTCTTTTTTTCCTTATGAAAGCTCAGTATTGAGAAGAAGAAAGGTAGGATCCGTGATCCTCCTCCAGTAATGGTTTTTGCAAAGAAATCTTTAAGAGCGACATCGAAATCCACGCTGTAGTCCTGCCACTAGTCAAGAAATGCTTTGTGTATCGAAGAAAACTGCTGTCTAGTTTTATCACATAGTTTCTGCATTGTTTTTACTTTTCTACGCAAATGTCTCTCGTATGTATCGTGAGATGACGCAGCGATGATGTAGCGCTCCACTTGATTTTTTGAGAACGCCATAACTCTGCTGTTATGAGTTGTGCGCAAAACGAACACATTTACATTTCCCACCGTTCTCGCACAACTTTTCGGCGTGCTTGTATGGTTCTAAATCCCTTGCTTTATTGCATCATCGAATTCCTCCCAGTCGATTATAAAAACGTGCGTCAGATCGGGCTCGTCCGTGAGTTTCATGTCTTCGGAAGCGCAGGGTCATCAACATCGAAAGCTAAGGAGACATCGAAAGTCGGGAAGTATACCATAATATCCAACAACCATCGTTCAATGTTATGGAAAAAGCTCAGTTCAATGTCATCTTCAGCGCTGTCGCGAGCAAGGGGAGGACTGACTCCCCAAGTAGAAAACTTATCGGTTTTCCCTAGCGTAGCAGAACAAAATTTTTGCCCTAGACATCCTTCTCTTTCATGGACTGTTTGTTACGCGCACCTTCCTTGTGAGCTAAGATTGCAGTAGGCAAAAATGATTATAAACTATTGTTCATTGAATTGAATATAAAGTTAGAGCCGGTTCCTAGCAGTCACCGATATATCTACAACTATTCTGCAGCTATTTGCGATATGTAGAGGAGCAATATTTCTCTGATTGCGTTCACCAATATTCTTAAAATTATTGCTCTGTGAACGAGAGAATGAGTGTTTTTCAGAATATTCTTCTAAAACAAATCAATCAGCATGTTAAATTAATGCAGAGGCGCCGCAGGGTTCCGTGTTGGGACTGTTACTTTTTTTGTTGTATATAAATGATATTGGTGATAATCTGGAGAACCCTTGTAAGTTTGCTGAGGATGCTTGTATTTTTGGTAGTGGTGGTAATTGTAAGTGTTTTCTTGAATTTAGAAATAGTTTTAGACTTCTGGGCATCTTTGGAGGACCTCGAGATTAGCTTTTAATTTACATTAGATTACGAATCTTACACATCAAGTTCTGTAGCGAACGGCGATCGCAGGGAGGCGTGAGTGTAAAGTCATGGAAAGTCGGTCGCAGGTATAAGTTCTTAAAGCCAAAGGAACGAACGCAGACGAGCGTTACCTGTCTTGAAACTTTTTGTCCGTGGTCCGATGATCTGTTTCACTTCCAAAAATGCCAGTCATTGTCGAATGCACCTACATGGAGGACATCTGTTAAACTGGCTTGTCAGAAGATCTAATAATGACCAAAAAGAATTAAATTATCTGCTTTGTAGAAAGGTGTGTTTATTTTCCGCTAAAAATGAGTACCGCACGAAATGTGTTATGCAGATCCGGGAAGAGTGCTATGAGAGTAGAGACCATTTGTCATGAAGACAGACAAAACTAATGGCGGAGTTACCAGAAATACGCGGCTGGTCGTTTGATTTTTTCTTTCTTATCTCCGTAAAAAACAAACTACTTAACTGTTTCTTAACCGATTATCGCCCTCCGATCGTTCGACTCACCTTGCTTGCATTCCTGATTGAATTTCTATGGGGTGATATCTTTATTTTTTTATTCATCGGAGTATTTACACAAAAATATTAAAATCAAAGATCATTCAGCAAAAACACAGTTTACAGTAAAAAATAGGTTTATCGCACAAAGTGAATAAAAATATGATCACAGATAGCCAAACATTGTGTGAACTGGTGACAATTGTAAACTGTAGACCACCGAGGTTATTGGTTCCCTAGCCGAGACTCCCCTTAAAGTCCCCCTATAACTCCTCAAAACCCACTAGAGAGTCTAGGAGGGGATCCCACGCGGTCCCCAAGGAAGCGCGGGAAGATTGGTGGACTTCCAAGGGAATCCCCGACAAATACGCCAAGCTCCCAAGGGGATCACCCTGGTGATCTACCACACTCCTACGGTGGTCTCTGGGGAGTCTGGTGGATTACCCTGGAGTGGGGAAGACTTAGCAACAGAATTAAGAGTAACTCATCAGACTCGTACGATTTTACTATATATGATACTTAAGGTTGAGGTAACCTCACTGGTACCAGCGTAACACATATCAGTCAACAAAGGCCGACACGTTAGTAATAACTAACTAGAAGAAAATTCGTAAAATTTTATCAGAAAACTATTATATCTATAGGTTGTCTATCTGCAGAAAACGGTGAATGGGGAGTTGGCAGGAAGTTTTGAGGGAGGGTCGATTAGGGTTACACTGACCATATACGGCAAATTACGGCCGTGTAACATTCGAGTCCATAGTGCGAAAAGCAGACGAGCCTTGTTCACAGATAAAAAACCTGGCGGTTGTAGTGGAAAGATGTATCGACCGACAAAATATATCTTGTCAGAATCAGAAACATGTGCAAACAAGTCTTGTTGCTTGAACATCGTTGAAATTGGATCGTCTTCGTCGACAACCAAATGGAGTTCGGTGCCATGGATGTGCGTCGTTGTCGATGCACTTTTTATGTAGTATAGAATACTGTAATGATGAACATCGCATATCCGATTTGCCATTGCTATAAACCATGCTCGATTCTTCTCCTCATCCTCGATCTACTCATTATCGTTTCGTCGCCGCGACATCGTTTTCTCGTGATCCTCTAAAGAGCCACAGAGGACTAAAACTATTTCTAAATTCATTAAATTCATCACGCCCGCTGAAGATTCCAAGGGGACTGGAAGTGTTTCTGATTGATTTACTATGATAGACAGGGCTGTCACGACCTCTTTAGAGCAGAGGATCGGTTATAAAATGACATAACTTCGAGCCCAAAAAAATGGTATCGTACTACTACATTGTCTTAATCTTATCTTAACTTTTACTATATACCAAAAATTCGAAGAATATTTTTAAATTTGGAAGAGGGTCACACGCATACACCGTTCGGAAATTTTCACCAACTTCGGTTTCATCCTCACCAAAAACTTGAGGTGTCTAGAAAACCACTTTCCACACATATTTTCAAAAAAGCGTAAGCGAGACCTTTAGATTATTTTTGATGCTCTACACTATGGGCAAAAAGAAATTTTCGCGGAAAGATGCTCGGTAATAGTGGGCGGACCTGCGCGGAAGGACCCGACTTTCATTGTCGTTTCACGCACTGTTATCGAAACAACATAAATAGCCTGGTGTGGGCTGCTATTGAGAAAATTGAAATGAAAGCTGAATGAATAAATATTGGCTGAGGACAAATCGGGAAATGTGGGACTGTCCTCCATGTGGAGGGTATTTTGTATTCTGGTACCTCTTGTAATCCTGTTACCTGGCGTACTATAGTGTATATTTTGGTAATGATTTTTGTAAATGGTAAGCTATTAAAAAAAGAAACAGATTCGAAAATTTGCATTTTGAAAGTTTCTCCTGAATATGCTGACAAAAACAGCAAACTAACAGCTGATTAGTAGATGTCGTATGTAGTCGGCAACACTTTCTCTTCAGTTTCTTCAGAAAATGATTTCAATTCTTTGCTCTCTTCTCATTGGTCAATAGGCGTGTATTTTGCAATATTAATCGTCTACTATTATATTACTATTTACGCTAGAATTGATCGATTGATTATTTTGTTTCATATTTTCTAATTTAAGTCAAAGCATGCTAGGATTGGAAGCTAAGCTTATCTGATAGCATCTACACGATTTTAAGCTGATTGTACCCTGTTAACTAGTCATGGTATGAAGTAACTAAAGTGATAAAAGAATTTCTTTTAATCATATTTTTGTCCATTCTCTACTTATTCATTATAGTTAGAAAATCCAAGTCCATAATAGTAATAATGACAGCTAACTAAATATCTAATAGTCTAAACTAAAATCTATTTTATGTTTTCGAAGTTTTGTTTGCATAACTACGTCCGGCATATATACCGTAGAGAGGCATCTCACAGCAGAGGCAATACTGTCAAAAACAATTTGTTGTTTTTCCAAAAAAGATGGTTTCTGAAGAGCGAAAGACACAAAATAGAAACTTTTCTGAAAGCAGGGGGATGGTAACCACCTCCAGAATCCTCCATAGGTACGCCCGTGCATGATTCATGTGAAATCGAATATAATATGTAATTGCCATGCTCTGACGCATCTACAACCTTTGTTTTCTTTATAAATATCAAATTAAAATACTCTTTGTTTTTATAAAATATATATAATTTAAGCCATAGAATCTATGGAAAATACTATCGCATCTGTACTTTTTTGTTTTGCATTACAAATGATGAGCGTCGGAGGAAAAAAAGTTTGGTTCTAGTAGATGAATGCATGGAGGTTAGCTTGTACTTGTAACAGATAGATGTATTTACTCTTGAACTTTATATAATAGAAAATGTATATTGAAACTAAAGAGACATATTACTGAGCAAATATGTATGTATTTGTCTTGAATAGTGAACATTTGGTATCATTTTAAAATAATTTTTCCATTATCAAGAATTTCTTCCAGTAGATCTTACACTGTTTCGTTTTTGAAAAACTTTCTTGTCTATATGAAAAACTCATCGTTATAGAATACTTATGTTTTATAGATATTAGTCTATGTTCTTCATTTCTCTTTGATGAAAAATGTTTCGTCGAAAGCAGAAAACGATTCCATCTTTAAACAATAATTCTTCTATTCAAATTGCGTTTGATACCGAACCAAGTCCATCGCATTGTGGATACTGTGATACAAATGGAAGTTGTACGGCAGGTAACTAGAGGATGGCGCGAGTATTTGAACATATAGAGTTTTTAAGTGCACTTTTGAAGATCACTTTTGTAAATATATCGTACAAATAGACTAGTATTCTAGATGACTAGTGTAATATTACGTGGTAAACGTAAATCTGATTGCTCCTATTGTCACTCATCTTCGACTAAAAGTTCTTATGGTAAGAATATTGTTAATTTTGTGTTTCTAGTAAAGATTATTGAATAAACTCTATGTTAGTATATTAAACTTGTTTTTTTTTCCATTTTAGGAATTGTATCACCGAATATGCTTGTTGATGATTATCAATTGTTAATGGATCGAGGATGGAGAAAGTAAGATCATTTTGTTTACTTGTTTTCTTGATTATTCGTTCATTTTTACCTTTGCTCTAGATGTGGCACATATTATTACAAAGCACTTATGAATAAAACATGTTGTCCACTTTATACAATTCGGTAAGTATACATAAACATTTGTTCAAATGTCTGGTTACTTGGCTAATGATTTATATTTTACATATTCTTTTTCCGTTCTAGGTGTGATGCCAATTATTTTCAATCAACTCGTTCTCAACGACGTGTTGTGCATGATTTGAATAATTTCATTAATAATAATATAAAACCAACGAAAAATATATCGACAGCCAATGATGAATCAGTGAGTGTAGCATCAAATTCGGTTGTCGATAATAATAAAAACTTGAAATCAATACGTTCAAAACGTGTACGTAGTAAAACAGCTCCACAACAAAACATTGAAACAAATCGTATTACAAACAATAGTAATAACAATAACGGTAACACAGATTGGATGAATATACATACAAATGCCTTTCAGTTGGCAAAATATGTCGTTAACAATGAACAACGTAAGATTTATAAGAACGACTTGTATGCTGTGCTCATCTGAAGCGTTAAAAAGGTTCATTGACATATTGTGTAATAGTAGAAAATACAATGTAGATTTTCACCTCATATAGTACTATGACTTGCATTGTTTGTTCTCTGTTTAGCTCCCGACGATTTATTAAAACATTTACGTGCAAGACAAAAACGTTGGTATAGAAAATTAGAAAAATTAAAAGGACAAGGAAAATTAAATTCACAAACTGGTAAAGTACATTCACTTTAAAGACATCAAAAGTAATTTGTCTCTTTTTAATTTGTTTAACAAGATATTCGAGGTTATATAAAGCGTTATAAACGTATGAAATCAAATCAGTTAACATTAGAAGAGATGTTACAATTTGACCAGAATCCAGTTAATAAACTGGAGGTTGGTTAGTACTGCATAAAAAATGAATTGTATATTACTGTATTTACAATTCTAGTTAAAATTGGTTCGTTCCTATCCACCTAGTGATGATTTTACTCGTACATTTACTGATTCACATCGTGTCTATAAAAAATATCAAATGGCGATTCATGGTGATTCTGAATTTGAATGTACATCATCACAATTTAGACGTTTTTTATGTGAATCATCGTTACAACCCGAATGTGACCGTCTACCGAAAGAATCAACACCATCAACCGTGGGTTATGGATGTTATCATTTACAATATTATTTGAATAATCAATTGATTGCATGTGGTGTAATCGATATTTTACCTAATAGTATATCATCTGTCTATTTTTATTATGATCCAGATTATTCATTTCTTAAATTAGGTGTTTATTCAGCATTAAGGTAAAAAACATAAATTGTATTAGTATATGACAACATATCAATCAGCATTTTTCTAATGTATTTATTTTGTTTTTCTCTTTCGTTTTAAATAGAGAAATTGAATTAACAAGAAAACTATCAAAAGAAGTGCCACAATTGTGTTATTATTATTTGGGATTCTATGTCCATTCATGTATAAAAATGCGATATAAAGTGAGTAAATTAGGTAGTTAATAATACAGTAAAGTTAGAAAACAGATGTTATAAACACTAATCAGAACTGAGTATAATAATTGAGTCGATCTTACATGATGTCCTCGGACAATCACGAAAACGTTGAAATACTTTGAACACTAGATCGATGTAGATCATTTTGCACCCTTTAGATCAACAATGACAATTTCAAACAAATGTCATCGATTCTGAAATATTCTATTGACGCTGATATCAGAGCTTTTTGATAGAGTGTTTTCATGAAATCATACAATTTGAAAATAGACAAATCAATCAAAAAACAGAAATAATAGAGTATTTCTTGATTCAACGATAAGGGGGTAAAAAATTAATCATTATTGTTACAATTCAGTCTATTGTAAAATCAAGAAGAATTTGATATGACATTTGCCGACACACAGATGAATAAAAAAAGTTATGAAATTTACTAAAAATTATTTTTTAAAGAATAAATGATAATTATGCATTTTCTGCTTTTGGCTGTTTTTCCCTAATCATAAAGATTTTTAAGTGTTTTCTCAAACACTCAACTCAAATTTATAAGTATTTTTTATCAAAGCCAGAACTGTTGAAACACATTCATTCGGATCAGAAATATACGTTCAAAAAATAGCGTGTCGATTAAAATGAAAATTTATAGTTATGTTTGTTGTTTTGTATTTTATCGAATAAAATTCTATAGAGTCAAAATCTCTGTACCAGGGCAATGCCTTTCAAGTCAAAAATGTGATAATAATTGCAGCTGTTTTGAACTTCATACCTTTATTTGTCGATATTTCGACCTTTAACCGGTCATTTTCAAAAACATAAACAGAATAGCTGTACAAAGAATGAAAACAACTACTTTTTTGAAATAACTACTTTTCTAGAATAGAGAAAAAAAAGTAATTGTTTTCATTCTTTGTACAGCTATTCTGTTTATGTTTTTGAAAATGACCGGTTAAAGGTTGAAATATCAACAAATAAAGGTATGAAGTTCAAAACAACTGAAACTATTATCACATTTTTAAAATCCTATAGAGCTAAAGAAAAAACCTTTTTTGACACTCTGCGCAGTAGAAAAAGGTTAAATAAAGCAGTGAAAATAGGTTTTCGTTTTTTCTTCCGGATTTTTGTCTTGTACAGGTGGCAACGCTGCTCTGCACCTATCAGAAAATTTTTTTAAATTCGCCACTATTATAACTAGAAAGTTTAATCCACTGAAATTATCGTATTTTTCATAAATGATTTACTTTGTAGTATCGATAACTACGCAGTTATATGTTATAAATGTGTTCATCAAGAAATATGTGTACCGTCCTTTGCACTGTAAAATAATCTTCATTCATTTTTGTAATATTTCTCTTTCTAGGGTCAATATAAACCATCTTATTTGCTTTGTCCAGAAACTTATACATGGCATCCTATAGAAAAGTGTATTCCATTACTTAATCAAAATAAATATCAACGTTTTGAAAATGATTTAACAAAAGGTAGTATAATTTAAATAAAACATTTGTTCAAATATCTATTATTCAATTATTTTTCTTATTCTTCATTCTAGTTGATGAGAATGAGGAACGAAATTTGGAAAACTTAAAGTTACGTTTTGATAATCAATTATTAACACTTCCTCAATTACAAGCATTAAATGAAGATTATTTTTGTTATTTGATTGATCGTCTACAATTATTTGCAAAATATGTGGGAAAAATATGTGCTGAACGAATATATATTGATCTACGTTAAAAACTATTTCTATTTTTCGTGTTTTGTTTCTTGTCATTACATTTATTTTTATGTCAATAAACACATTTTTATGCATAAACATTAATTGAGAATCATTATTTTTGTATTCAGTTTTTATTTTCGCTGTATGTTCCTTTTGTGATATTTGCTTGACACTTTTTTATATATTTAATTTTGAGAAAAAACAACAAATCTAATTAAGTATTTATTTTCCTAATAGCGAACGTTTCTTGTTTTTGCTGACTAAAAGCAATGGTTTGTTTCATTCGTACAAGTCTCTTTGAATTAGAGAAGAAGTTATGGTGCCTAGAAGATCTATTGTAAAAAGTCCGTATCTGAAATCATTTCAACAAGCAAACATTCAAAGAAACAAAATGTATAGAGATTGACGAAATAGTCTATTGTTTGATTCACATAGAATCTGTAGAATGAAGATAAATGTAGTCTTCTACCAACGGATATAAAGAATATGTCGAATTCTTTTACAGAAATCTGTTTTGTTGAAAAAGTTTCTTTCTGAATACTGTTTTTTTGGATTTCAGATTAAACAATGGTTTGCTCGTCGAGTATTCTTATAGTAAAGTCTCAACATAATTAGTGACAATAGTCGTTCATGATGATGCGAGAAATACAATCATTTTGTAAATCATTCATAGTAAAAACATGATAAATTACCTCAATCTATATGAATGAAACTGGTTAAATAGTCGAATCGTTAACAATAAAATTCATTTATTTTTCATCCGAACAACAATTAAATGTGATTATTAATAAAATATTTTGATTAATAATCGATATTTAAAACGTATACATGAATTTTTTTCCTAAATTACAACTGTATCACAAATGAAGTTTAAAAACAATGAATTTAAACAGAATAAAATAAGAAATAAACTCAATTACAAACACAAAATGAATGGATATTTTCTTGTAATGAAAAATTAAATAAATTGAACATTTAAGTTTAAATTTTAAATGAAAATATTCTGCTACTGATAAAGATACGATCATAAAGAAGAAAAAGAAATTTATATTATAATGAACAGGTATGAATGATTGCTACACTAAGAGTTTTTTTTGTATATTTCATTTGTTTTTATTTTTTTTAATGGTCTGTTTGATCTTGACCTACTTATTAGGAAAAATAATTTAGGTAAACAACTGAAATAGAATAAGAAAAAGTTATGTATCGTTCTGAAAAAAAACAAAAACGCAGAGCTGAGCAAATCAAGTTAAAAATGACTTGATTTGAAAATTTTTTGAAAAGGCTTGATTTGACGTGTGACTTGGTCTGAAATATTAATCCAAGTCATCAACTAAGAAAATCAGGTTTTGTGATGAATTTTAAGGTAAAATACATCATTAGGTCGAGAATTTTAATCCAGTATTAGATAAACTATGGCTTTATAAGTGATTTTGGCCATTTTCCAAAAGCAATTATTCTCAAAGACTTGCCCAGCACTGCAAAAACGTTAATGTACTCGTTATTCGACTGAGAAGCAAACAGAAAGATTTTAAGCTTGATCTATACCATGCTCATCTCTCTTTAGGGATCATATCTGAAACAATATTCAATACAATAACAAGTTCATGGTATTTAGCTGCATCCAACAACTTTATTATTATTTTCATTTTACCATAATGGAAAACTCATCTTATTCAATCTAAATATCGAATGAAAGAAATCGATTAGAATAAAAATAATAATGATGATTTGTTTAATTTCGAATGATTCGACATTGATTTATTGTTTTTGAAGTACCTTATCAATAAACAAAACTAGACAAATAAACGTTTGATAGTGTCCATGATAAAGGTCTATGCTATGCTAGCGTGGATTTTAGTTTACAAATACTGATTTGAGTAATTGATAATAAATTTGACATGTAAAACAATATGATGGTAAATGCAAAGATATTCTAAGATTACTGATGTATTTTTAAACGATAATAAGTTCTGTTTAAAAAATTTTTCTCTCCAAATTATGTAAGAAGTTTTTTGTATTTTTAACTCATTTTCTCTGATAAATTCCAATAGTCTATTTGTCACATTTCGTACTTTTTTTTGGAGTGAATATATTTAGATCTATAGGTTTTATTCCTCGAAAACACAGTACATTATTATTTTATAGTTTTAAATTCATTTTTTTCATGTTAAAGCTTTATTCAAAGTTATAAATTGCATGATGAATGAATTTCTTGTTATATGAATAGAAAAAAAAAGTTAATTTTTGAATTATCTCCCATTTATTCTGTTTTTTAGCATAACAAGTGAGAAGAGAAATTTAAGTTGACTTGAATGAGTAATCTTATGCGTTGTCTTGTGATAATAAATAAAGAAATAGATTATATTTCCTATCAATCAATCAATTCCAGTTTTTTTTCATGAAAATGTATTGTTCTTGAGTTATGTCTTTCATCTTCGATTACACCTTCAGGCTAAAGTTTTAATAAGTCTTTCAATTGGCAGACAAAATCGATTTATTAAATATTATATTGCTACGAAGTCTCGTTTTTCAAACTTAAGTGGCAGTGAGTTGAAAAACGCTCCTATTTCTAACGTCATTTTCTCTTCTATTTTTTTTGTACACTGTATACCAAAGGTTGTATGCAACTACTTCATGCCAGTTTGTAGAGGCAAATAAACAATACAAAAGAGAGTTAAATGTACTATAAAATCGTGATATGTTCTAGTTAAATATTGCGACTGTATTTATCTCTTGTGTTTTTTTTTTAATTTCAGATTGTGCTATTCATCTGAACATCAGTTATATCCAAAAATAATTTGACGTGTTGAATTCCGTTTCGCCATTTTCTTTCTTTTCATTTTTTTTTCTTTGTTCTTTGTCTCAAAAAAAAAATGGAGGGAGGATCATCATTGTTATTAATGAGACAATTAAAAGAATTGACAAAACATCCTGTAGAAGGTTTTTCAGCTGGTTTAATTGATGATTCAGATGCATTTCATTGGAATGTTATGATTATTGGACCAGTTGATACGATTTATGAAGGTATGAGAGAGAGGATTGAGCACTTCTGTTAGAATTCATTATAACATTTTTCTTGAACAGGCGGTTTCTACAAAGCGAGACTCGATTTTCCAAAAGAATATCCACATAAGCCACCAAAAATGAAATTTTTATCAGAAATTTGGCATCCAAATATTGAAAAAAACGGAGATGTTTGCATATCAAGTAAGAATATACGTACAATATGTGATCAATTAAATAAATGTGTTATGTTTATTATTTTCAATTTAGTTCTTCATGAACCAGGTGATGATCAGTATGGATATGAAACAGCGAGTGAACGCTGGAGTCCTGTGCATACAGTGGGTAAGTTATTATACTATTAGATAAATTATTATGTAACGAAATTAGTAGACAGTTCGAGATGATAGAATCAACTGTTCAGTAAAACATAATTTTCACATATTAACATTTCTAGTTTTCTTTTGTTTAGAAACAATTCTAATCTCTGTGATTTCAATGTTAGCTGATCCAAACTGTGAATCGGCAGCCAATGTTGATGCAGCAAAAATGTTAAGAGATGATCCAAAACAATTTAAAAAACGCGTAGCGGATTGTGTTCGAAAATCTATGGCCGAATTTGGTGGTTAATTCTAGAACATGATTTCATATTTTTCCTTATCTCTCTATATCATTGCATATGTATGCAGACAACAAAAACACCAACAACAACAAAAAAAAAAAAATGACCTCATTTTTTTACATAATTCGTATACATAATCGGCTGCGTTCACTTTTTCGTTCTTTTTACTGTTTCTCTTGAATTTTTTGGTTTGTTTCTATTCCTTTTTTCTTTTGCTTCATTTATCTTTTTTCTGGCTCATTTTTTTATATGAATAACAAGTACATGAGTAAATTGAATTCTTGATCTATTTTGCAACGGATTTGGATCATGAGCCAGCATTTGATTAAAAAGTAGAAAGAAAGCTTCAAACATAAAATAACAACTAAACATATTAGGAACAGAAAAAGTGATGTAAACTCTTCAAGAAATCTCAAATTAGAGGCATTACGTAGATCGCACTTCATACCATCGACTCATGGTAAAAAAAAGTAATGTGAGTAAATTATAACGATGTCAAGAGTTGATAAGACATCAAGTCAAATAACATATTTGTGGCGTTTGATATGTACGAGTATTTTAATACATAATTAGTGTTTCCT